ATTTTTTTTGATAGCGCGGGGATCAACGGTCAGAGATTATTCGTGTGTTCAGCTGTCGACGTGATTCTCCTCACTGTTCTATGGGTCGAAGGTACCAATGCCGGCCCATTTGGTTTGTGTATTATAGGAAGACCAGGGGTTGGCCCTTGGCATTTTGTATGAAAGACCAGGAGGTGGCTCCTGGCAATTTTTATGCAAGACCAGAGTCTGAACTCTAGTAGTTAATTAGTTAAGTAGTTGTAGATTGTATGCCAGTTGTCTTTGTGATGCTTGCATGGAAGACCAGGAGGTGGCTACTGGCACTTGTCTGTAAGACCCAGGGTTTTGGCCCCCGGCGTGGCAAGGAAAGACCATGATATGGCTCGTGGCATAACGACAAGACTATGGTTGACACATAGCACCTCCTATTGTATGTTTGATATGTATGGCTCGTATGTTATGTATGGTCTGTGGTATTTAGGGAACTCACTAAGCTTTGTGCTTACAATTTGTGGTTTATGGTTTCAGGTACTTCCGGTTCGAAAGGGAAGGGCCCGACTTTATCGCAGCGCATACACCGGTGTTTTCCGCAATTCTTGATTTTGGGATTTTACTCTGATAATTGTTTTACAGTGGAATACTTTTAAATGTGGGAATAAAGATAAACAAATATTTGAATATATATTAAAAATGAAATTTTTACCTTCGTATTTTGAGGATGTTACACTATGAATTTTGTTTAGATTACTTAAGTTAATAAACAACATATCTCCGACTCACTTTTTATGACACGAGTAGTTGTGTCGGTTTGATCATGAAACTTCAAAGAAACATAACTTCTTCATACAAAGTCGTATTTAAGAACTCCTAATATCTACGAGATAGTCATAACGACTACTACATTAGCTTAGATTATCTGTTATATCTTAAATATCTAGTCTGAATCTGTGAGCGTTACACTATACCATGTATCCCATTGTATATTCTTTGCATGGTAGGATAGAGGTACGGTTAGAGTACAAGTATGCTAGTTGACTATGATAAATCCTTGCAATGCATGTGCATTTTAGGAAACTTGGTGTCTTGGTATGTTAGACCAGTAGGGTTTTGCGTGTTGATCATATGATACCGTTAAGGGTTATGTTTGGTGAGGGTAACTAGGGAAGGCCAGTTATCAGGATTATGTATGATTAACCAACGAAGGACTTAAGTGAGAAGTGATCAATGCCATGGTAATTAGGGAAGGTTAGTTTCCAAGGTATGTACTATGATAATACCTATCATGTGTTTATGATACATGATTAGGTGGTAATGATAGCATTAGTTCTATGTAGTTTAAGTTGGATAGCATGAGAACTCTTGGTCTAATACCTTATTGCGATGTTCTTGGGTGGATCATCTGTTCGATGGTCTATCTGGTCGTTGACTACATATGACTTTATTAATTGTATGAAAGACCAAGATCTGGTCCCCGATAATTGTATGAATGACCAGGATATGGAACCTGACAATTGTATGAAAAACCAGGATCTGGCCCTTGGAAATTATATGAAAGACCAGGATCTGGCCCATGACAATTGTATATAAGACCAAGGTTTGAACCCTAGCAATGGCAAGGAAATACCATGATTTGGACCATGGCAAGATGTGACGGTAAGACAATGATTTGACCCATAACATTCACTCGGGGTTGGAGTAGACCCGTTATTTTATATATGATTGTTATGTATGTTGATAGGAGATTTGGCAGGTCGGCGCTGGATCCGAAAACTTTGTGTGGATGCATTGTATATATGATGGAATATGTGGTATACTGGGGAAATTACTAAGCTTTATGATTACAATTGTGGATTAAATGTTTTGCAAGTTATTCGTGAGAAGAGCTCGGTGGGACTGTACACACACATCAAAGGTAATGATTTTCGCTTTCCTTGAACTCAACTCTCAACCGGTTACGGGGTCTATTTCAGCCCTACCACTACCACATAATAACATATCATAATCATACTGTCAGGCATATTTGGGTGCCCGACCTACCCTACGGTTTATCTAAACCAGTTACGGGGTCTAATCCACCTCTCCTACCAATATCACATAATATCATAGCATACTAGCACATAAAACGTAACAGATAATGGCATGCCAGTCAATTATCACAAAGACAATCGTCTCTACTATGATCAACTATTAGTGGACCGACATTGGTGCTTTCGACCAACTTCTACTGGAAGGTAACTCACCGCGAATATCGGAAAGTAGCTGAAAATCCTCGGCTCCGACAATCAACCAAACTCAAGCTCCTATACATAAAAGATTTCCTTAATTACCATTTCATACTCATGGCCCCCTTAAGGGTCAACTTTGGTCAAAGTCAAAGTCAACATTCTGGTCAAACGCAACATTCTGAGTTGACTCAACTCGTCAAGTTGGCCCTTCAACTCGCCGAGTCCATGAATCATAACACCCTGAAATCGTGATCCAACTCGTCTAGTTCTTTCATGAACTCGTCAAGTTCCTCCTATCAACAGAATCGGGACTTTCCAAATCAACTCGTCGAGTCCGTCCTTGAACTCGTCGAGTCCATCCTCTAACAGATTCGGGACACTTCGACTCAACTCGTCGAGTTCCTCTATGAACTCGTCGAGTTCTTCAGTCTGTTAAGCCTTCTTAATGCATTGAGCCATTATTCTTCAATTCTAAGTCCCATATTCCAGATCTGGGTCGAATACACATCTAGGAGGGTAAAGTTTCCGACTTTACCCAATAAGACCCATACTAGAAGAAATGAGCTCTAATCCTAACTCACAATGGCTTAGACCCAACTCTAAAAGCCATTAAAACATCAAGATAAGCAATGGGGTCATAGATATGGACTCTAGGGACGATTTGGTCACGTAAAGTTCCTATCTTTACTTGCATGCATGACCTACTTGGCTCAAAAGACCAAAAAGATGGTCTAAAAGTTGCATGGGACTTCCATGGCCATAAAGTGGGCACCTTTATGCCATGAAGTCCCCTCAAGACCCTAGATCTGAAGGGTTTGCCCACATAGGACGTCCAAATTCCAAAAACCAACATACTTGGACCAAAACATGAAGAAAGCATCCTAAAACTAGATCTAAGCATGTTATAGACAAGGTAGGAGCTTTATACCTCAGATGAACCAGAAATGAAGCCCAACTTCTGGATCTACTCTCCTCCTACACGTACTTGCTCCTTTTTCAAGTACCTTCTTCTTCAAAATCACCAAGAATACACAAAGTTGGCTCAAAACTCTCAAAAGCGAATTAGGGTTTCGAGGTTAGGGTTTGTGACAATGAAGGATGGAAATGAGGCCAGCTTATGGGGGTTAAACCCTCAAAATTAGGGTTTCATTCTGCCAACCTACTCGTCGAGTTGAGGCTTCGCAACTCGTCGAGTAGACTTCTTAACCCGCGTCCCAATCCATCTCTACTCGACGAATTTGGGCCTCCAACTCGTCGAATTTCTATACAAAAATGAATAATTATGAATGAAATACATACCAGGAACCAGACGTTACAAACACAATGGTTTCAAATTAATGAATATCACTTATGGTTTTTAAGTTGAAGGATTAAATCGGTTAATCCGTTTTCAAATCAAAATCTCTTTGTAAAATTTGAGGCGATACAATTGCTATTAGACAATAGTTTTTTTCTTCAAAATGGACTTCTATTTCTGATTCTATGATTCATTTTCGAGATCACTCTACATATTGAAAGATCACTTTACATCTTGAAAGTGAAAAAACATAAACTTCGTTAGGTTTTATCTTTTTTTCTCAACTTTTATAACTACATTTGTTTAGTTTTAAATATATTTCCCAGACAACAACCATCCAATGCTCAAAATAGAAAACGGAAAAAAGAGAAAAAGAAATGATTAAAGAATACCATTGATGTTCAATAATTGCTGTTTGCTTGCATATATACATCATTCCTTTTATGAAGAACGTGTCCCTAAACTATCTTGTACAAATGCAAATGCTTAGTGAGCATCCATGATTTCAACTTTTTCCTTACAAAAGCTATTATAAGAACATCCATAATCCATAGTTTAATGGAATCGTTGAATGATCAGGAATGCTTAGTCGACATTTAGTTGATTAGACTCAACCATAATGAGATGTCTCGTTAGTGTTCAATTGAAGTTCAATGAGTTCTTTTTTTTTTTTTTTATAATTTTTTTTAAATATAAAATGACTAACAAATTTATGATTTTTTTTAAAAAAATAATTTTTGTTTCATCATCTTTTTAATTTTGTTAAGTTGTCACGAAAGCTAGCTAGACAGACAGAGATGGATTTTTTATGGACAACTAAAATTTCCATACGTAATGCACAACTGGTAAAATTTCTTCAAGATTGAACCAGAATTGCATTATGGGGCTTGTAAAAAAGGCAAAGCTCTTTTGTGTTGATCACTTACAATAATTAGAAAGTGCATACCAACAAGAATCTTAAAAGTATCCTCCGTTACGTATGGAAATAACTCAAGATGAGATAGACCCCAATAATGAATTGCTGGGCTAGTGTTGATTTGTATGTAAACATCATAACGATTTCACTGACATCCTGGCTTGATCTTGATATAAACGAAAAATAGCAAAAGACTTCTATTACGGCATTTATGAATTAAATATGTGCCTAAAAGCAATACAATGATGAAATACAATAATGCCATGTTGTTGAAGGTACTTTTAAATCGTGGTGAAGTTATATTCAATTATATATGCAAGCACTAGAACAAAAGATTGAGCAATTGGGAGTCATATCTACTAATCAATTTGTACGTAATACACCCATCCTTTAAAGTAAGATAAGCTTACGAAAGCAGATAACGATTTCTATGTTTAATCAGCTCCATTGTATGAGTGGGTGACATATGCTTCAAAAAGTGCCACCTGGAGGTCCACTGTTGTTAATTGACACACACGACAAAATGAACAATAATTAATAACTAATAAATTCTCTAGAACTCTTACGAATAACAAGAGAGATATAGAGATATTTGTATCAGTGGATCCACATTTCTCAAGCCTTGTGGCCTATATAAAGGGATGACTCTAGAATCTCTCATTCACCACTCATCACAAATAACAAGAGAGATATAGAGAGAAAGGTAGCATTTCTTTAAACAACACCAGGTTTTTGGAGAGGAAGATATTTGTATCACTTATCGTTATCAGTTAAGGAAGATGACTGGGAACATGGCTGATCACCTCACTCTTGCATTTGGTCTTCTTGGTATATAACCCCTTCAATTCCCTCTCCTCCCTTTGCATCTATATTTTCGTTGATGATTCTGCTGCTAACATTTTTCTTTCAAATATTTGCAGGTAATGTCGTCTCGTTTATGGTATTTCTTGCACCAATGTAAGTCTCCTACTTTTTAATCTCTCCTCCCCTTGCTTCTATATTAACAAACGTACATGACATAATTTGATAAAAATGCAGACCAACGTTTTATAAAGTTTACAAAAGGAAATCAACCGAAGGGTTTCAGTCGGCGCCATATGTTGTGGGCTTATTCAGTGCCATGCTTTGGATATACTATGCATTACTCAAGTCCAATGTCATGCTTCTCATCACCATTAACTCAGTTGGCTGTGTCATCGAGACATTGTACATTTGTTTCTTTCTCTTCTATGCACCAAAGAAGGCTCGGGTACATGCTAATCTTTACTTCGCTATGAAATAAAAGGATCATGGTTAATATCAAGGAAAGGTTGAATTAACCCATTATAAAACTTGGTTTATGCAGATGGAGAGTATGAAGCTAATCATATTGCTAATAGTTGTTGGGTTTGGATTGATTGTTGTCCTGACTCAGTTCCTTGCAAATGGAGTTACCCGTGGCGTGATAGTTGGATGGATTTGCCTAGTGTTTTCTTTGTGTGTTTTTGTAGCACCTTTGGGAGTTCTGGTACGGCATATGCACATATAAAACTTATACTATTAAGCTTGTGGTAGAAGAATATATTTTTTTCCTCTTCTTTTTGCATTTTACATGGTGACATTTGTTAATATGTATGCTATTCATATTGCTTTGCAGCGACAAGTGATTAAAACAAAAAGCGTAGAGTACATGCCAATTCTACTATCAGTGGCGCTCACCCTCAGCGCTGTTATGTGGTTCTTTTATGGCCTTCTTCTTGGTGACTTTAATATTGCGGTATGACATAATACAAACAATACAATGGCCTCTTGTATGTCCCTTTGAACAAAGTTAGTTATCTTTAACTAATGAGTGTATTTATACCATCTTTTACAGATCCCAAATGTACTTGGATTCACTTTTGGAATCATTCAAATGATACTATACTTTGTGTACAAAAACAAAAAGCCAGTCATTGATGATGAAAAAGTATCTAGATGTGAAGACAAGGTTGCGGAATTGGCGGAGCAAAAACTCCCAGACTTTAGAGATCAGAAAATAATTGACGTTGTAAATCTGAAAACCTTGTTGCACGCTGACATTCATCCGGTGTTCCCACAAAATGCACATAAAGCTAATCATGCAGTTTTTGAACCACAAACTTTCCCTAATGTGCCAAATTGCACCATTGAAGTTGGCGCATGAAGCTTACAAATGGATATGCATTCAGAGTAAAACTAAATTTGTTGGGCCTGATCTTCCGGGAAAAAGTGTTTAATATGCATGGTTTGGTGTTCTTAATCTAATACTTGCCTTCTCTAGGAATAAGCACCCTTTGATCTTGAGATTTTGTACAGCTCATGTAAACATTGTATTAAATTATTCCTAATTTCCTAATTTCCTCTAGTTTACAAAAATCAAAGTACATCATGTGAAGTGCGAACCATGCAAAAAACCTTGCGTGCATAGTATAGTAATATAAGTAAAAACTTGTATTTCTCAATTATAAAACACAACAAGCTCTTCTTTCTTTTACAACGCGACAAAGGTATGTAGATTGCGCAATCATCATAGAAAAGCAGTTAATAATAGAAGAGCTGATGTTAGATGTGCACATGATCCATAACTCTACTAGAAAAAGGGCGAAAATCCAACCAAAATTTCCGACATAATACCGATTGAAAGGTTACAAAAAATAAACCCTAATTGAGTGAAGGAACCTGGTCTTTAGTTCTACATTCGTCGCAATAGACACCATTTGAAACTGGGTGTTCCACGCCAACACAGAATACGCTAACCATTTCGGCATATGCCTGATAGTTTTAAATCTCCGCTTTTTTACATACTTTTCTTACTATTTTTTTTGAACAACAAGAGATATATATTCAAAGAAAACCTTGCGAGTGGCTAGGAGCAACCACAATCAGTACATGGGAGAAAAAAATCGAACTATCCCAATTCAAAGAAACAAACTTCTTAACTCACTATTTCAACTACCGATAAGCATTTGACTGTATCTCCATTGCATTGACATTTATATTCTAGTTTTTGCTATAAGAAATAACTTGGCTTCTCACTTTCCAAAAAACCCACTGACAACTAGATAAGCCTTGGCGATGATCCTCAGAGCTACTTCTGCGTTCCCCTCCCACCACCAGCACCACAACAAAAAAAACTCAATATTAGCAACAACAAAAAATTGTCGTAAGATACTCATAATCGTCACTAAAGATATTACCAGCGACAAATCGTCGCAAGAGGGTCACCGCTATTACTTCATAACTAATACTCATAAAACGCCGCTATTAGGGTCGTCTCTAATAGTTGTCGTTGTTAAAAAGCTAGCTAAATTCGTTGCAAACGATGTCGCTACTAACATTCCGGTCAGTGGCGAATCCAAAACCAAAATCAACGTGGTTCCTTATATAAATGAAATGGAAAAAATATGAAAATGTAGGTCTTTTGGCAAAAATAAGGTAGTTCCTTATGTATTTTTATATATAATTGTTGTATTAAAAAAGAAAAAAGGTAGGTCCTAGGACCCATCTTCACATAGTGTAGCTACGCCCCTGATTCCGGTAACCGGTAGGAGTTTTTTTGGCCAAGGTTACCGGAGATACATGTCGTTGCAACTAATGCAAGTCGTCGCAAAACTATCGCCGCTAATACTATTATTTTTTTTTAATAAAATTAATATTTTGTAAGATTTTGAATTATAAAAATGCAGAAATTATAATCTAGAAATCTAAATTACATAAACCATTAAATAACATAAAACAAAATATACTATATTACATATAAACGATCTTATCCAATCCATAAACGATCTAATAAACAATCTAATCCAATCCATACATAATCTAATAAATCCATAATAACATCATCCATAACGTAAAACAAGAAATATTAGTCGTCTTCCACAACGTCATTTTCCGTATCGTCGTTGCTCGCATTGTTGACTTGGTTATTAAACGAGTGAAAAATATCTCCATGTGCCGTCACAAACGCTGAGTTTTAGAGAAAAGCGTTAACATTCACAACCTACTTTAAATGACATTGTGAATTATAGCATCCTGCATTTTTTTTTGTTTTTTCAATTATAGCATTGTACTTTTTCATATATTTTTGTTTATAGCATTTTTTTTATGTTGTTTTCTATTATAGTATTATACTTTAAATGACATTGTGAATTATAGCATCCTTTTTTTTAATTATAGTATTGTACTTTACATACTATGGAGTTTTGAGGACTACCCTAATTAAGTCAAAACATTTCACATACAAATACTCATATACACATATACCAAAGACACATATAAAAATATATACCAAATACACATATATGCATACCCAATACACATATACATATACCAATTATACATATACACATAATTTCTATTTGCATGCATACAAGTACATATATACACACCTAATAAATGCAAATATATATAAATACATATCCATTCACCGTTGTCAAAATTATTGAGTCATTTTATGAAATTACCATACTTGACCACAAAAACCTAAAAATGTGTGAAAGACAAATCCTATATATAGATATATATATATATATATATATATATATATATATATATATATATATATATATATATATATATATATATATATATATATATATATATGCAAATACAAATTTCATTCATAGATACCAATTACATGCATATATACCGATTAGATACAAACAATATGCAAATACAAATTTCATGTAACAACATGCATATACAAACTTCATATAACACTTTTTAATACAAACTTCATATAAAAAATTTCATATAATAGTTTTACACATAATACATTCATAACAAAAAAATTATGGCTGGAAAAACGCAAATGTGGCCAGAAAAATCAATATATGGTGTTGTAGCGGTGGTGGTTGTTGGGGAACAACTTTCCTGTGGCGGTGGTGGCTGTCGTTGTGCTTAATCAGGAGAAATTTTAAAATTAGTAGAGGAATTAAGGTCAAAATAGAAAGAGAACGAGAAAGAGGACATACCGTCACCAGAGATCAATGCTGGAGAATTGCCTGTCGTTGGCTGCTGGAACTATTCCGATGAATAAATGGAACTAGTATGGAGAATTGATGGTGGAGGCAAGTCGGAGGAGTTAGTGGGTGAAAAACGTTGTAATACATCGGAAATACCGTCTCGTCGTTCGAGAAATCGAGAGAGAAAATGGTTGCCGGGAGTAGCTAATTTGGAATGAAGACGAGCAAAAGGGGGGGGGGGTAATCTTTAGCGGTGACACCAGCAAGTAGCGGTGACATGTTGGAGGGAAACGAGCATGTAACATCCAAATTTTCTAGACCAAAAATTTCATTTTTAATTAAGTAGTTTATAAAATTGTTTAGTGAAAAACATCATCAATATCATAACATTCCAGAAATCAAAAGTCATAAACATGCCATGGAATAATAATAGTGTCGGAGTACAATCTCAAGAACATCATAGTGCGGAAAATCGTGTGTGTGCGATGCGCTGCTACTTGTGCCGACTCCTTTCCCTTCGCTGAAGAGATACCTGAAACAAAACTTAAAACTGTAAGCACAAAGCTTAGTGAGTTCCCCCATCATACCACATACCCAATAATAACATATCTAGCCAGGCATATCTGGGTGCCGGCCTCCCCTTCGGTCTATTTCAACCGGATAATCGCCTAGCATATCTGGGTGCTGGCCTCCCCTTCGGTCTATTTCAACCGGATAACTGCCTAGCATATCTGGGTGATGGCCTCCCCTTCGGTCTGTTTCAACCGGATATCATGGACTATTTCACCCCTATCACTAACACATAGAATCATAACATACTGATACGTAGGACATAACAGAACCAGATAATTATCACGCAGACAATCACCTAACAAGCAACTCCTACTAGTGGGCCGACATTGTGACCTTAGACCCACTTCTACTAGAAGGTAACTTTCCTCGTAAAGCTGAGTGTCGAATCTCACGAGAAGTAGTCTCTAACAGCTGCTCCGATGACTCCCGGCTACCATAATCATAATAACACTTAATCAGGATCTATAACACCACTTAGGGTAAAATGATCATTTTACCCCTCTGGCGTAACTTAAACTATCCATAAGGCCCAATTCTAACTTATTAAATCCAATGTACCCATGGCCCTCCAAAGGCTCCCTAAGGGCCCACTAGCCCAATTTTCTAAATTGGGCCCAACCCTTAAAATGGGCCTTTTCACAATACTAATAAGTCCTTAGCCCAAAATAAAATAATATCGAGTGGACCAAGGCCCAAGACTTCTAATTCTAAATTCCCAGGCCCAGAACTATACTCCACAGTGGGCCACGGGGCCCAATAGTCCAGACCCGTTTCCCCAAGGCCCAAAAAGCCCAATATAGCCACTCTGCATGCGTACCCGTGGCGTACTTGGCACGTACGCCCTGCGTACTCTGGCCTTGACCAAAACGGGGAGTTGACCCAGTACGCGCAGTGTACCAGGGTGTATGCATAGTGTACTGGCCAGCTTCCTTGGGACCTTATTTGTGACTTAATCCATTAAGTCTTTACGTCCAAAATGTAGATCCAGGTCCTTTAAGACCTCCTAAACCATAAAGTCACAAACTTTATGTGCTTACATGCATGGTTGGGGTCAAAACATGATTTTGGTCCTTTTAACAAGCTTTAAGACCATCAAACTCTTGCATGGTTGTGGCTTAACCATCAAGGTCCGATTTTTGTGACTCTTAGTGCCTCTAAGAGCCCAAAAGGATAGCTCCTATGGTATGAAATCGCTAAGATGCAAGAAGCCTCAATAATGGGGTCCAAAAGTGACCTTAAGCACTCCTATACACAAATCTAAGCATACAATGGTCAAGTTTGGAACTTGATACCTCAAAAGACTCAGAAATTATGCCAATCCCCTGGATCTACAAGCTCTTTTTGAATCCTTGCTCCTTCTTCAAGCTCCTTTTTCTTCCAAAGCACCAAAACTACACTAAGATGCTCTCAAATGGCTTCCAAATCACAAGGACACACAAATATGGGTTAGGGTTTTCGTGGTGGCTGCAAATAGGTGAGAGGGAGGCTGGACCAAAGGCATAATATCCTTTATATAGGGATAAAACCCTAAAAGTTAGGGTTTTAGAACCTGCGCGCGTACGTTGCACGTACGTTGGGTGTACGTGCATGGCCTTCCCGCGCCAACCCCTTGAGTACGCTGCGCGTACCTGGCATGGTACGCCCCGCGTACAGCCTTTCTCAGCCCAAAATTTAAGGCCCATCTATCCTGTCCCAAACCAAAAACAGCCCAATACTCAATAAAATCAATAATATTAATACCTGCAAATCCCGTATGTTACAAATCTCCCCCAATTGAATTAGACTTCGTTCTCGAAGTCCGTTGTTGCTGCTGAAAA